AATGTGGGCAGCATTCTTTACCATCAGAGCCCATGGTGCCAGTCGATCCATCATCCATGGCTTCAGACCCTGCACACACAGCGATCCCACATAACCTTTCAACTCATGAGGCTTTAGAACAAGTTGATGAAGAGAATGAGGCAGAGAACACCAGGAAAGGTGGCAAAGCTTCATCTGGTCTAGGTCTTGAGGACTTTGACTTGCTCTGTGTGATTGGCAGAGGAAATTATGGGAAAATACTGTTAGTCCAACTGAAAAAATCAGGTGGCATGTATGCCATGAAAGCAGTGAAAAAAGAGCATTTCTACATTCATCAGGTACAGAAAGAGAGGCATATTCTACAGCAGACATCCAATTGTCCTTTACTAGTTGCACTGCATGCTTGCTTCCAGACAGAAAGCAGACTGTTCCTTGTTCTAGACTGTCAGTGGGGGAGATCTACTGTTTCATGTGCAGCAACAAAGCACACTTCCAGGAGAACATGCCAGTTTTTACTCTGCAGAAATCAGTTTAGCAGTCAACTATCTTCAGCAGCAAGGAATACTTCACAGAAATTTAAAATTGGAAAATCTTTTACTGGACTCAGAAGGTCACATTAAACTCACCAATTATTGCTTGAGTAAGGAAGGCTTACAGCCAGGAGACATGACCCGCACTTTCTGTGGTACTCCTCATTTTGTGGTTCCAGAAATTATAAGAGAGGAAGATTACAGTTTCAGTGTGGACTGGTGGGCTCTTGGAGTACTGATGTATATGATGATGATTGGAGAGTCTCCATTTCATCTTGATGAGAGCTCTGATAACCCTTATGAAGACTCAATCGAGAATCTCTTCCAAGTAATTTTGGAAAGAGACATTTTCATACCTTGTTGTCTGTCTGTACAAGCTGCAAGTATCCTAGAGGATTTTCTGAACAGGGACCCAAAAGAACAACTGGGTTGTCATCCTCACAGGGGCTTTGCTGATGTTCAGGAGCATCCATTCTTTCAAAATGTGGACTGGGACATGATGGAGCAAAAGCAGGTGGTGCCTCCATTTAAACCAAATATCTCTGAGTGATTTGGTTTGGATAACTTTGATCCTGAATTTACTAACAAACCTGTCCGGCTCACCCCAGATGATGATGACATCATGAGGGAGCTTGATGAGTATGAATTTGCGGGTTTTGAGTATATCAATCATCATATGATGTATGAAGAAGGGGTCTGATCCTCATTTTTTCAACTATGCATTTTGCTTATGTTGTCATTTAATGCTTGGAAAAATTTATTGCCAGCCTGGATAGAATGAACCATTTCAGAGTTGTTTGGAAGCCAATTTTAATTTATTGGTTTGAAGTTATATTTAGATGTAATACTTGATTCTTATAGTCTATAGTACAGAGTATGGAATTTTTTGTTCATAGATTAGATTTTTATGAACTTATTCAAACAACAATGAGCCAATCGCTTGTTAACCACACTTGTATATACATTCCTTTTGTTGAGTGAGACATAATGCCTAATATTTTTTCTTTTTACTTATAATACAAGAAAGCAATTTGTCTTTTCAGTAAAATATCTTCCCCATGCTAGTTTCTCTCCAACCACATTACCTATACTTTTTGGGCTCAGTTTATGTAGTCTTCAGGAAAATCCAAAAAATAGCAACAATTTTGAATTAAAATACATATACTTGTGGGCCGGGGATTTAGCTCAGTGGTTTCACCACCTGCTGCACAAGCACAAGGACCTGAGTTCGATCCCTGGTACCAAAAAAAAAAAAAGAAAAGAAAACACATATACTTGTATCT